TTAAAAAATCTCCTTTAAAAAATTGCTTTTAAAATTATGAGGAGCCAAATAATTAAAGACTCCTCACAGGTCCCTGAAGGTCTCATGTCTGAGAAGTGTGTGGTGAGGGATGAATTATACCCATTCTATAGGGTGGAATTTGGGGCTGGGGGAAGAGAAGCATGCCATCGGTGTGTTTCAGGGTGAACACCTTGCGAGAATCCAGCAGGTTCTGTGAATGTCACAGCATATGACAGAGATAACTGTGTTCTGATGTAGACAGGACAGAAACCAAGTATTCATCTCTCTCCTGACCAAGAGGAATTGGGTATTTTCAGAGTTGCCATAAACAGACTGGGTGGACAGAGGGAACGCTCACCCTCTGGGGAATCTCCAGAGGACCCTCTCTGAGGTTTCTTTTGAATCACCTACTTTGTCCCTCACTGTTAAATGACCCTTTACTAGAAATTTGTACTCTGTCTGGCCGAAGCTGACCTCACCATCCTGATTATGCCCAAATGTCAAGTTGAAAATCATTCAAGTTCAACACCGAGTCCAGTGTCAATGGAGGCTCTATCTTTGATTAGCTGTGTGACAATGGTGAGGGCCTACAGCCCTCTGCAAATGTCGTATGATCTGCAGAGGTGAACTGTACATAGATACCAAGTAGTGGAGCTTCTCATTGGGCTTAGGTAATGATTTATTTTCTTCTTCTAGAGAAATAAGGCAGATGTTTAAAAAGAGGGGGAAATGATTGGGAATTTGCAGAAGAGCCGAACTCTATAGCTCACACACACTCAACAAGTTTGCTAAAAAAACATTCTGTCTTAAGGCTGATTTCTAGCTATAAGTCTGGAGCTTTCTATGAAAGCTCACACAAAGACATCTGAACCAAGCAAGAGCCTCCCTACCCGGACACAGCTGTGTGCAAAATGCCTCAGTCTAAAGGATGTCTCAGTTCACTGTTGTTCAGCATAAATGGGAATAGGACAGGAAAAGACACAGGGAAGCAAACAAATAGTAGGGTATCCTGGGTTCACCAGAGCCACACATTTAAAGGGGACATGGGAGTGGGTGGTGGCATCATTCTTAGATATACCAAATGTTTTATCTGCAATCGACAAATCCCACATCCTCCCAGCTAACCTGGTTCACAACCTTAGTTACTTACACAATAGAGATGAAGGCAGACGCAATGCCGGCCATCTGCCAGAGTAACACTGACCTGTCCCTGAAAGGGATTTCAGCAGGCTCCTATCATCTTTGTAAGACAAAACAATGTGACACAAGGGCAACTCATTCACAAACAGAGCTGGAAGGAAATGGGGAGAGATTCAAGGGGAGAGAGATACCCCAGAGATGGCAGACCCGTGTGAGTCATGTGAGCAACTTGTTCCTCAAACCCCTCTCTCTATTCAGAGATTAGAAGAGATTTTGTAAGGTGTGACATCCAAGCTAGAAAGTCAGGCTCTCTGGTCTGTTTCTCATAAAAGCCCATATTTCTTAAAAAGGGAGTTGGTTATGGTTCACAAAGCATGAACACCAACACAGCTCCTCAGATACAAGGCCACTGGACCTCCCTGGGGTAAAGGGTCAACAGACAGAATCCTGCCTGGAGAACCTAGAGACGGGGCAGGGTGACCAAACCAAATAAACACACACTGTTTACTGGACACCAGACAGAGATCTCTATGTCAGAGGTCACATTACATGGCTTCTTCCTGAAGACATTGTTGTTAGTCCAAGAGGATTTGGGATGGCTTGGAAGCTCCAAGACCATTGCAGTGTTTGGCCCATGCACGGAGGAAATGGTACATCTTGATGTTGCCATAAAACCATGTGACAAGGTGCTTCAGCAAACTCTTACACGGGGAACAGGTAATGTCCCAGGCCCTCCAATTTTCTGTTAGCTCAAAATTCATTTTTCTGGTCCAGAGGCAGAGTCACAGAAAAGGCATTGCTAGGGACTCAGATAGACCTGTCTTAGAACCTTCCATTGTCCTAAGGGAAGTTATTCAGTTGTCAGTGGTGCTGCTTTCCTCTAAACTGTGGCTTATGAATGCTTGGGATTCAAGGAAGAAGATAAAATATGAAACCTATTCAGCAGATTGTCTGGCAATGGAATAGAAAGTGCTAGATTTGTAACCACCATTTTTGTAGGACTTGTTAAGAGGGTCAAAAGAGAGGGCTTTAGGACTTTCATCATATATACTCCAGAAGCAGTTCATGCATGCAGAGTGTGGGTGGCAGCAGGAATCCCTGTATAGTCAGTCGAATGCTCCAGATACAGAAGAATGTGTCATCTCCTGGTAGTGCACAGTGGAAGGCAATTTTTAGCAAGTGTTTTGCTTAATTAGTTGGTGTCTAAATGTGTTCTCAAGTACCATGCATGTACACATGTCCTCAGGATCATCCACTACTCCTGGAGATCTTCCTTTGTCTTTTAGAGATGTCTGAGCCCATGCCTTGGTTAGCTGCCAGGTGAGATGTCTGTTCCGTACATTGCTTCTCTTCCCATCCCCCAGGAAGGGGCAGGAAGTCAACAATCTTCACACCAAGTCAGCAGATTAAGGGAGGACTTCCACCTTCTCTCAGGACTCCATCTCATCCATCATAGCTACTGTAGTCATAGACTCCTCTGGTTGGGAAGACCATGCACCTGTTATACAGTCTCAGATGAGAAAGTGACAAGCCTAACGGATACAACTAAAATGGATTGAGATGATGATGAGAATTTGTGATGTCATTCTAAGAACAGTGTCCCAGTTGGTGCTGAAACCAAGAGTTCCTTCCAGGAATTGCATCAATGGAACCACAATGGATAGACAGAATGGCAATGCAATTACACAGGCACTAACTAGAAAGCAGTCTACAGATGCAGTGCAGATTTAAGATGTTATTGCTGCTGGGCGTGGTATACTTGTAAACCCAGCAGTTAGAGGTTGCAGATAGGAGGATCAAGTGTTCAAGGTCAAGAAATCTCTGTTACAGAGATTTCTAAGCCAGCCTGGGCTACATGAGGCACTGTTTCAGAAAAATCAAAGCAACAACAATTAACAACAAACAAAAATAAAAAAAAAAAACTGCCGTCAAACAAAACCCCCCACAAACAACAATACTAGCAAGATCCTATTGCTTCTCTTCAAAGGTTCTTCTAGACAAAATAAAAGAGGTATACATAATTCTCACATCCCACTAGTGGCCCTTTCTGCTCTTTGAAAGAACATGTTAGTGGAATTGTTAAAACAACAACAAAACACTCTCTCTCTCTCTCTCTCTCTCTCTCTCTCTCTCTCTCTGGTAGAGTGTGTGTGTGTTTGTGTGTGTGGTGGGGTGTGGGTGTGTGTTGGGAGGATTGGGGAGTGGTGACTACTCATGAGGACAAATGACAATGTTCAGTGAGGGGGTCCTCTGTCCTCTATGGCTTCCCATACTCACTACCACTGACAGGCACCAAAACAGCAGTCATAACCTTGATAGTCTCTGTCCCCCAGACATTACAATGGCCAAAGACAGAAGCTGAACCCTCTCAAACCTAAGGAAAGACAGATGACAGTGTGCTGCAAGGAGCCAGTACTGTCAGCGCCTTATCGACGTACCTGCTGGCCTGTGATTGATTGGCAGACTATAAACATTTATTGAAAATCAGACACCCCCCCACACTATTCTAATGGTTCAGAGGGGATTGCTTAAATTGCATGTAAATAAATCCCCCTGTCCCCAGGACAAATCTACCATCCTTCCCCAGGCAGTCCAACTACTCAGCACAGATTTAAAAATCTTGCAATTTTATTTGCATATAAAGGCCGCTAGATATAGAATATCACAATAAATTTAAAGAAAACAACTGCTTTCCTAAATTTTAAGGTAACATAAAATAGAATAGAGCTCAATGGCATTGACAATGAGAGAACAGAAAGATTATTAGCGACAATATTTTGTGCTAGCGAAGATTGCATCAACACACAGTGCAAAATGGAAGGGGGAGGAGGAAGTGAGAAGACAATGCAGGGCATTTAAATAGAAAGGACGACTAAGCCTTATTTTAGTTCGCTTCCAATGCATCCACTGAAGTCTATACACACTTGTTACTGTACCTAGACTGAGCTCAAGCTCTTTAAGACCTTGAGTTCAGAGAAAGAATGGTTCAGTTCCTTCGGACTTCTGATATGCTGCTGCACAGCATTGCTTTGCAGTTGTACTGTCCATGGCAATATTAAACTCCTAACTTAGTCATAATGCACAAAAAATATTTATATATATATATATAAATCCACATTAAAAAGGAGTCTGCACACTTTTTTTCCTTGCATGAGTATCTGCTCTTGACAGATTCTTTTTTCCATATTTTTAAAGCTCAAATAATTTAAAAGAAAGAAACAAACAGTGAGAGTTTGTATAACCATGATATGGACCTCTCTGGCTAAGCCTGTGAATGAGGGCTGTTCTTCCCCGACCTTGGGCACAGTCTTCTTTATAGCCAGTGGGAAGCTAAGGTTTTTTTTTTTTTTTTCCCCAGACCTACTTTTGTGGAGATTGTTCTAAATCGGGGCCACATCTGTAAAATAAAAATGGAATAACACCAGGAAAACAACAACAAAACACATCAAACAGTACTCAAAGAGTTGTGCAAATCTGGGTGGTTTTCAAAACACTGCCTATGTGTTTCTTTTCTTTTTTTAAAAATCTTTTTCTCACAGCTTAAAGCATATTCAAATAAGACTTTTTAAAATCATTTTTTTTTTTAAAGAAAGCTTGGCTGTCCTTTGGCAAACACTAACAATTTACAATGGCGTGGCCTTTGAGCAAACAGAAGTCATTTTACAAATTCCCAATGTTCCTTTGATTTCAAATGGATACTCCACTTAAAAAGGAAAGAGGCGGCGCAACTCTAGCATCTAACAATTTACAAAAAGAATGCACAGGATTTGAAAATAAACAAGTCAGAGAATGTAAGTTTATAATTAGAAAAATGGCAGTTTGTAGACCGTCCCTCACATTCCAATAGGATGCTGAGAGCTTTAGGAGCCTTGTGGGTTTGGAAGGTCAAAAATAATTGGAGGGTTGGTCGGTTGAAAGCTGACTGTACAGGTTGAGGCATTGATGTAGGTGGTGTAACCGTCGGTCATGATACCGTACCCTGGAGGAAGACAGTGTCACAGTTACTGTAATATATACAAACGACAACAGCTGAACACAGGGGCATCAGGCAGGGAGCGTGACAAAATCGTCATCAGAGGGCAGAGAGATGAAATTCAGTGAATCTTCCCAGAGACTCAGGTTTTGGGAGTTTCTGTCCGATTTTGCTGTTTTCCTTAAAAGGGGAGATTTCTCCTCTTTAACAAAGAACAATTCTTCCCTGTGCCCCTTTGCTTAAACACTGAATTGGCCAGGGGAAGGATGTGATACCTATATGGCTGAGAAAAGTACCCCTCCACCTTCAAAGTATCATTTTCATTTCAAAACCCCTATCAACTATATTGTTGCAGGGGAGGAAGTGAGCATGCCAAGAGCACAAGTGGGCTCTCAGTGGGCTTTGTGGTAGGGGAGGAGGGCAAGAGCTCAGGTGTGGTGTCCTCTTCCTCATTGCTAGAGTGCTTTGTCTTCGTGACAATTATCCCTAAGTGATTGATTCGACCTTGAGTTATGTGGCATTGATGGTAAGTTCCAGTTCACTCAAAAGCATGGCTTCTTCAACCGTGGTAGGTAGGAACATCGCCACAAGACCCTGTTTCCTAAAATGTACCCCAACAGTGCAAGGAGGGAAAGCACAAATGATCTACTGAAGAAAGCTGAGGTAATGTCATGGCACCCTGGCATGTAGACTCCTTTTGTCATTTTTACATGTTGACATTTTTAGGCTTCTTGGAAGTTTGCACATTTCCTTGGACACCTTACCGCTTCTGCAATGAGTCTGCTATTCTATGTTCACATTGGACTCCAAGGCATGTAAAAATATAGCCATGAAGAAATAAAATGACCAGGACATGCAGAAATTACTGATAAGGTTCTTATCCCTCCCCCCCTCCCCCCTGCTCCATTTGCTAAAATTTTTCCAAGTAAGCCTGCGGAGAGCTTAATGAGGGTCAATGGAAAAATCTCTTAAGAAAAGAAAAAGCTGCATTTAAAATGTGCACTGTTTGGTTCCGGGGTCATAAAGTCTTGTTATCTCTCTCCATCAAGAGGCTGGTATTTGCCCTCTTGCTGCCCTCTTTAGCTGTCTTAAGTGAATAAAAGCAAGACAGGTTTATTTGAATATGATCTCTTCCCTTTAAAGCAAGTTTATTATTGTGGGGCTTCAGTGGAATTCTCCGATTGTCTGGCAAGTTTAAGGTAAATTAATGATTTAAACTTTTTTTTTTTTAAGGGTGAAATGCAAATTCAAAGGAATCCCACAGGAATTCAAACTAGTTTTCAGGATAATAGCACCACCACTCCCTCCCTGGAAATGGAGTTTAGATGGGCAGTCCCATCTCCTTGAGGTTCTCCCCTTCTCCTAGAGAAGTGCAGGACAGACTGAAGTCCACCCCTCCCCCTCACCGCACCCTGCCTCCTGCCCAGGAGCTCTGGGCACCCCTACTTTTCAGCTGGTACCTGCCTGTACTTGGAGCAAGCTGAATTTTCTCTGGCCCTAGTATGATGGTTTTTCTTTCTTTCTTTTTTTTATTATTTTTTACTTGAATTAGAAACAAGATTGTTTTACATGACAATCCCAGTTCCCTTTTCCATCCCATCCTCCCCTACCACCCCGCAACTAAAACCCTACTTATCACATACCCTTTCTTCTATTCTTCCCCTGACTCAACCTTTCTGCTTCCTCATGACCTCTGCATCCTTCCTCTTCTTCCCTTCTCATTCTCCTAGCTCCCGCTCCCCTCTTCTGGGCTCTAGATTGGCACAGGGGATCTTGACCCTTTCCCCTTCTCCAGGGGACCATGTATGTCTCTTAGGGTCCTCCTTGTTTACTAGCTTCTCTGGCAGTGTGGATTGTAGGCTGGTAGTAGGATGGTTTTTCAACATGCTCTTTATTACCCACCTAACCGGGAAGCCTCTGTGCCTGTGGACTCAGTGGAGTAAACTGCATTCTATCTCACCAAGCACACAGCCTCATGCACTTCAACTTGACTCTGACATTCATAAATAACCCCAGAGAGCCACAGTGAATGAGGGCTGGGAAACAGTGAATGAGAGCTGCCCTCATAAATGCTTCTGCTGCACACGAATATGCATGCCTGGGCCAGACTCATAGGTTCTGAGACCCCAAGATCAGCTAGCTGACAGAATACTCTGCTTGTCCACAAAAGCCCAGTGACATCTGTTTAGAAAAAGGCAGAGCAGACAAAATTCAAAGCTGTGAAGTCTCCTTCCATATCTGTTAGGAACTGTTCCTTGCAGGTCCACAGTAATCCTGCAGGGAACACCTCGTGTTCCTGGTGCTTTCTGTGTTTGGCATGTATGACCCCGCAGGGGCTATAGATGCTTTAGGTAGTGTCTAATCTCGAGGGCATCTTGTCTATCTCCTTAAGCAGGGAAGTTGGCTTTATTGGTGCTACAGCAGTTGTTATTCATTTTTCTCTGGAGCCCCTAGGTTCCAGTGCTGCCTGGGAGAGAGTCTGGGCTTTGTGGTACACTAAGCCACATAGGGTTCCTACTCGGTTTTCTACTTAAAAGACAGCAATACAAACTTTATCAGCTTTACACACGTGAGCTTTTCTCCTGAGGTTTCATCTCATAAAAGGGCTTCCTTTTCGATAAAATTTGAGAACCACTGTTCCCATCATTCTGTCTAGCTGATGCTGCCTGCTGGAGACTGTGAGATCATGGATAATGGCACATTCTCCACCCCTGTGTTCTTACCTTCATGAATTCCACCGAACACGTGGAGCTTGGGCCGAACTCGCCTCTGGACTGTGTTTAGGAGCTCCACGCAGCCAACCCTTTGAAGCTCCTTTGGAACCCAGTCCCGGAAACCTAAGGACAGAATTCAATCAATACTCTTAATTTTCCTTCTTCAGGTAAGGTTTCATTTGGACTTTCAGGAAGCCATAACTCACAGAAGGTTTATTGTGTTATCTGCAATCTTAGCCTCTCCATTAAAGCTCACAATGGCTTTTAAGAAACTTTCACTCATCACTTTGTCTTCTTTGGATTCTTGATTAATTTTTTTTTTGGTTTCCATTTTTCCCCCCTTTCCAGTTAATTAACATTCTTTTCCTGCAAGAACTTTGATTTATTCAGCCACAGGTTTCAGATCTTCTTCATGAGATCAATGACACTTATTCCCGGCAGCCACGTAATAGCTCCTTCACCTCTATTCTGTTGCTTTCTCTTTTTCAAAATTCTTTCTTACATGTAGATACACCAGTTTGCTCCCATGATGGTTCACAGAGAGGGGATGTGGAAGAGTTGCCTGGGAGCTGGCCCAGGATACCTTTTGCTGCCTAGAGATGTCACCCTTGGGGGTTCCTGAGAACCAGAGCTCTGGAATACCCAGTTGCTTCTCCACTCCTCTGTAGCAACAGACAACATGACCTCACGGTGGCATCCAGCAAGCTTGGGCTAATTGACTAGTTTTAAAGTAAAAGCCACTTAGTCCTCTGCTTAATGCAGAAAATCTATAAAAAACTGACATCTATTATAGCAAAAGTCAGCTATCCAGATGATTATGGTCTAAAATGAAATCCATACACCTCAGCAGGATGGGGTCTAAGGAAGGCAGGTGGGATGAAGGGCTAAATCATAATCTGTGGAAATCCATTCCACAGCCCCATTAGGTACTGTCTACTGTTAGAAATGGCTGGGCAGGAAGGGACAGATTTCTGTTCTGTTTGGCTAGGCAGTAGGCATGAATATTTAGTCTCTGTAAAGGCAGGCTAGCTGGGATGTGGGGAGTGCCCAGATAAAAGTGGAGTGCCCAACAAAACTCCAACAAGGGCATTTAAAACTATTTAGAAGAAGAAAAAATTATGAATCCACAGTGATTACCATTATTACCTCATAGATGCATTTTCTTAAAGAAGGAAAAATACTTTACTGTGGATATCAGCACCTCAGATATCATCTTGCTGAGACTACAATAGTAGAGAGTAAATAGCACCTACAGCTTCCTTCACACTGAGAACTCAAGAATTCAAACTCTCCATCTCCCCCCACCCCTACCCCCAGCACAGCTTTTGCCAAAAAACTCATCCTTACATGGTGAAATTTTCTAAGTTGCTTCCAGGTTCTGGCTATTACAAATAATGCTGCTATGAACATAGTTGAACATATGTCCTTGTTGTATGAATGTGAAAGCTTTGCTGGCTTCTAAGGAAGCTTCTGGGTGTAGACATCCCTCTGATACATGTGCAGCCTGGTTTACCTCACTTTTACTTTTACTTTTACTGCTGGAAGCGTAACCAGGATGTTGGGATTCTGCAGAATCTAGTGTTGAGATTTAGCTGTTACTAACACTTGCTTCATGACAAAATGAATGACTCGGTTGTGAACTGGTCGTTCTGTTTGAAGTCACAGTCTAAGGAATGCTCCAGTAATGGGGACATTTCTGTGCTGTCTGCTACCCAAGGCCCTCACCATGAACTGCACTCAACTAGGCTGCAGCTATCCAAGACCCTCTCAATGAACTGTGCCCACCCAGGCTGCTCTGGTAGAGGAACCAAGCTGGCTGGAATGCTGTCCCTACAAGGCACTCTTGCTGAGTAAGTAAGTCATGCTAGTCAAAACATTTCGTTAGCAATTTAATGATTAAATTAGCCTAAATCAGGAAATAAATTGACAATGATTTGATTAGGATCATTGGCAATACGGTCTCGGAGAGTACAGGATGAGGTGAAGTGCATCAGAGAGCGACACCTTGTACCGTGTACCGTACTCTCCACAACAAAACTAGCCTCTCTTCCCCACTTCCCCCTCACTAACTTGTGGGGGCCCATGGCCTCAACCTCTATTCTCCCTTTCATTTGTTCAGGAAACATGGAGCTCCTCCCCTATCCCCAACCCCCACTCCTGCCCCCGGGAAGGAAAATGGCTCTTAACAGAGGTATTTAGAAAGGTTAAATATGCATCAGGAATGAATAATAAAATGTTTGATTCCACAGGCTAATTAGAAGAGGTAAGGGCCATGAGTAACAAGGTAACAAAAGTCATGAAAGTCACTTTTACCCACATTGTTTCCCCTTCAACGTAGTATGACCAAGGAAGCTGTTAATGTAAGGTATTACACTAATAAATATTATAGAGGTGCCCCCATAAAAATAAATCAATGAATACCAACATTTGTATTTAAAATGAAATGTTTGAATTTTCTGAGCATGCTTAGCTGGACAGAAAGTGTCCTGACATTATCCATAGCGAGTGGATGGTGACGTCAGGGTTGTGGGTCCTGGTTGAAAATGTTTTGTAGCAAGCCAAACCAATGACAAGCTCATGAATAATTAGGATATAATTACTTCAATCAAATAACCGTCTTCTGACAGTCTGCATCACTGGGGGTGGGGGTAGCTTTGACACCAGAGATAGTATAAATTGGGATACTGTCACAATACGCCCAAAGAACACATGTCCATAAGTAATATGCAGGGCATCTCCTTATTGAAAATATTAAAAAAAGTTTCTTCTCATATAATCAGCTCAAATGTTAAACTTTAAAGATACCCCAGGCCCAATCTACGTGTGAAAGGAAAACGAGTTCCTTTGAACAAAAGTTTCTTTCATTTCACTGCCATTCAAATGCCTGTGATTGGTAGGTCTCTGTCTTCTTTCGTGTCCCATCCTACACCTTCATTGTGAAGGGAACACAGTTCTTAAAATAAATTACCAAGCTTAAAAGACTGTGGTTTTCTATGCTCATTTGATGTTTTCCCCCGCCTCAACTAAATAAAAAAACAAAACAAAACATCATGAACACCTGTAAGCCTAGCAGAACTGCTGAGTTTAATACCATACTGGGTTTCTTTAAAGACACTGACTTTCCTTTGTGCATTCACTGTTTTTTTTTCCCTGAAGGAAAATTATTATGTCCCCAAAGAATTATTCATTATGCTGGGGGGAGGGGAGCATTTTGTATGACAAAGAATAACCTTTGCCCCACTTACCTAGAGGAGGTCCATGTGTCATGAGTATGTCGATGCCCTCAGGGATGAGGTTCCATTTGTCCAGAAGAGACTGGCCTCTGGGTAGGTTAAAGCCCCATCCATTAAACCACGGGGTCCTTGGGGGAGATAATGCACACGGGTCAGGCCACCAGAACCAGCGTCTGCACTGTCATATTTCTCACGCACATTCACCCACGGCTTGCAATGCTCTCTTTTTTCTTTTGATGGTTGGCCCTGGCAGCAGGCTGCTTTTCTGTTGACCACTTCAAACCAAGCCATTTGAAAGCAGGCATGGAGCCTATGAATTGTTTAACTAGAAAGGGGCACAGGAGCCTAGACAGTGGAAACTTTCCCAGCAGGCTTCTAACAAAATGGTGACAATGCCTTTTCTCCCCCCAAATCTCAGTGCTTCCCAAGATATCCAGCTCTGTTCCAAAGCATTCCCAGCCTCCCTTAGTGCTGCAGAGATAAGAAACCCCACCACTACTTCCTTACTCTTCCTTTTATTGTAGAGGTCCTTGTTAGTCTTGGGGAAAAAAAGAACACATGACTAGAGGAAAACTGTCTGCTGAAATGTCCTGAAGAGTCTGGATGGAGGCTACTGAGAACAGTTTGTGGGCTCTGAAGAGCAAAAGGGGTTACCAAAGTTCTTCCTGCCACCAAAGTGAAGACTCTGGGGACATCCGTGGTCCCTCTGGAATCTGCTTCCCACAGCACCTATGACTATCTTCCTGAGCTTCTGCTTCATAAATGTGGCTCTAAGATCGAGGCTATGTAAGCAAAGGAATGGGTTGTCTGTCTGTCGGTTTGGCCTCAACACTGACATGTTTACAAATGTCCTGTTTATTAGTGAGAGAATGAACAGTTTTCTCTATAAATCCTGCAGGTCTAAGGTGCTTCTACAAAGCATTTCTGATTGTACTCATCCAAAACATCCAAGCTGAGCAGTACTCTCTGAAAACGACTGCTTTGCTCCATAGGGAAATTCCAATTTGCTCAGCACACTTGCAAAAGACAAGATGGTCAATTTTCTGCTAGTGCTCAACTTCCCCTTCCAGCTTGACCTGCCCACTGCCAGTCACAGTTGATCAAATGTGGACTGCACTCTTATTTGAAGACAATCCCTGTCCAAATGAACAGGATTATCTCAATAATTCAAATTTAGAAACAGTGAGAGAACATTCATTTGGTGGTCAGGGACAGAAAGATGACCAATTGTCATCATTTCAAAACCCACATTTCAGGTGGCAACCTCAACCTCCCACTGTGGGGAAGATGGGAAGTTCAAGGAAGAAAAGACTGGCTCCAGTTAGAAAGAGGAACCCAATAAAGTACGTTATTTACTTCCTACCCTCTTTCCAAGTCGACACACCATCTTCCTGGAGCTTATGCCTAACAATGTTATAATAAAATGGGAATAACTCTGAAGACAACAGAGTCATTCATTAGGTGTTTTTACATTGTCAGGGTCCTAGTCGAAGCATTTTTTTTCACATACTTCAACCTTACAAGGTTTACCACTCCTGAGATTATCATCCCTGTTTTACAAATGATAAAACTAGCTAAACGTAACTTGAACCTAAACCAAGGCAATCTGGTACCAACACCAGTGAATTTAACCACAATTCCAATTCTTTTTCCTGTATGCTACCTGAATTAAATTACTTGCCTTAGATGAAGCACTTATGAGTTTTTTCAAGTTTGCCTGTGGCTGGAAGCCAAATGCTATCTCCATTTCATGGTTCAGGCAGCAAGCTACAATATGATGGAGTAGACACCTGCTGTTTTGGCATACCAGCTCTTTCATTTCTTCTGGTGACAATGTTGTATTTTCTTAGGTAAGTTACTCCCTCCCTGATATAATACATGTGTTTCTGGTAAGGCTTACTCCACTCCAGATCCTGGATGAAGTAACTTGCATTTGCTACTTACTTGTGATTCACTTCCAAGTGTACACATGACCCAAGCTGGGCAGCTGAGTGTCATCCTCAGGATTTTGTTAGCACTGCTAAAGAGAAGGTCATGTTTCCCCTCTGGAATCTCAAGTCTCAAGAATTGTGCAGCCCTGGAATTGGCTGGGAGCTACATCAGCTGTCCTCTAGGCAGTCTGCATGGGAATCAACTGACCACCAAAGTAATTCAAGACAAGAAAGAGAGGGCTTTGATGATGTCCTTCGACACAGGGATTCAGCTGTGTCTGACCAAGTGAACTCCTCCTTTCAAGTATATGAACCAACAAGAGCCTTTTCTTTTCATTAGCTTATATCAGGTTCCATTTCTACTAACTGAAAGCTCTACTACATACAACCACTGTATCCATATAAAAATGACCCATGTATCTGTTGTGGGCAATAGTGCTCTCTGCTAAAAGATCCATATACTAGAACCTATGATTATATCTCCTTACAAAGCAAGGGTCACTGAAGGATTATGTCCTTTAAAATAGGGATATAATCCTGGATTATACAGATGGGTGGTCCAGTGTGACCCACCAAGGTCTTTAACAGTGGAAGAAAGGGCAGTAGAGGTGACATGAATGGAGCAATGAGAAAAGACTCAACTGGATGTTGCTACCTTTGAAGATGGAGGAAGGGGACTAGGCGGCTAGGGGTAGGGGTGACTTTGAAAAGTTGGATAACATAAAAAGTGAATTGTTGGTGGGGTGTGATGGCATATTCCTTTAATCCCAGAATTTAGGAGGTAGAGGTAGGCAGATTCCTGAAATAGAGGCCAGTCTGGTTTACACAGCCAGGTTCAGGCTAGCCTGGAAACTCTCAAAAGAAATGCAGCCGTGTCACAGCTATGTTTTAGTTCATAGGAGTAGGCAGACTTCTGACCAGCACACCTGTATGACAAATTTGTTTGTGTATTGACACTAACTCCCATTGACTGATTAAAGTTGAAATAGGAACTAATCACTGTTGACCATGTCTTAGCAGGCTGGGAACTATAGGGCCCGTGAGTAGTGCTGAGTAGTGCTGGGCCTCACTTGGTAAGCAGCATGTTCCATCAACACAGCCTAACTTCTGAAAGTTATCAAACTTTCAGAATTCTTTGAAAAAGCAAGTTACTGCCTTAGTCCTGCTTAGCTAGGTAGGCCCCAGCATCAGTCCTGGGAAGAAAGCCTGAGACTCTTCCAGAATGGAATCCATCAGTCTTGTTCTCTCTTGTCCTCTAGCATGTCCATCATCAGGTTCTTACACGTTTCATTCAGGTTTCAGAAAAAGAGCCCCCCAAGCTTGGAAATGTCTATCCTGCCTCCCTTTACAATGACCCTCCTCCAAGATTTGTCTTAAAACAAAAAACAGAAAAACAACTACAGAAACCAATGAAAACTTAGCATTTTGGCAGAAGAGAGAAGAAAGAAAAATAAGCAAAAACATCTGCTTTCCTAAATTCTAAAAACAAGCTTCTAGGCCTTTGGTTCTTATTTGCATGGAAAATCGAGAAGGGTTTGAAAAAGTCCCAAGCACACCCAAGTTGTGGGCATAGCGAGGGGCTCTGATTTTGTTGGAGAACAGTCAGCTTTGAGTCCCCAAGACACCCTAGGGACTTTCAGAGTCAAAGGAAAAGGAGTTAATTTTTTTAGACCTTCCAATAATCCACTGGTAAGTTCTCTTAGATGCCAATAGTCACACCTATCCCGTTCCCAGGAAGTTTTATAAGCTTCCAGGGAAAGACAAGTCTGAACTCATGGTCTCTAGATAATCCAAACTACATTTGGTTGATGTTAAGCTTGTGGCAAAATGCAGAAGGGTCCAAGTTAAGGACAAGTTAAGATGTCTGGCTTTTATTTGAACTTAAGCCTGTGTGTGTATGACAGTGAGTGGTTACGTTACAGTGACAGGAACATTTATCAAGGCCCTGATGTATTTTATACAGAGCCTTTATCTAGATTATTGGCTTTAATTCCTCCAAGCAATCCTTAACCATGTATTATCATTCTATATTTAGATAGAGCATGGCATTAATGATAGCAGTTTGTCCACATTTCCAGATCTAGTATTTGTAGCTACCATGTGTCCCCAAATGTGCCAGCTTCAAAGGCTATGGCCTTCCATTGAACAATAGTGACAAAAACCTTCAAACATGATTTTAATGTGGGGTCTCACACATATAGTGTAAAAATAAATGGCTGCAGTATCAGTCTACCGGTCTGAAGACTGTATGATTCCAGAAGATGGCACGAAATTTCAAGGTGGCTCTCACAGTGTGATATGACCATTCTGGGTCTGACAGTTCCTCTGTCTCCTGCATGTGAGGTCTTCCCATAAGACAGTGGCAGTAAGCCAAGGAGAGAAGCAGTCTGCTGATGTTGTCCAGAACCAGCCTGACAGAGGAAAAGAGATGGGGCCTCCATAAGTCGGGAGACCTGGATGCTAATTCTGTCCTCTGTTCACTTGCTGCTGTGGACCTTTGGTTAGGAAAGGACCCTCAGAGGCCTCTCTTCATCTGAAGAATGGGAAGTGAGGGGACTCGGTTATGGGCTTCAAGACTGCTTTTAGGATGTGGACATTTTCTGCAGGGGCCCAGTACACAGAGAAGGCTAACACTGAGGCACTCTGCCCAGGAAGCAGGAAAGACAGACCCAAGAGCATCTAAGTCTCTTCAGCCTTGCTTCTCCCTGCTAACCTGTGCCACCAGGGCAGCTGGCAACACCTGGCACTTGCACTTCCTATGGCATAAAGCTTGTAACAGTCTACTATTCTGTGCAGATTACCCAGGTTCTGAGTAATGCTGTGAATTATTCTCAGCGAATTGTCCAAATTGCCTGTGAGAGGCCCAGTGCATTGTGGGAGAAAAGTCTGCTCAGAACAGAGGCCGGCTCTGCCAGTGTCTCAAATAATGCTCTACCCAGTTCAGTTTGAAACATGAGACCCCAGCACTGAGCCCATCAGGGTTTCACTGGAAAATATGTGCAAAGCCAACCTCCAGAGCTCCACAATGGGTTTTGTTCTGCAGCAACGGGGGGCAAGGGAGAAAGGGAGGGGGGAGGAATCCAAGGAACAATGTCTAGTGCCTTAGCCAAGGACTTCATAATTAGCTGTGACTAACAAATACCACATGGGAACCAACTTGTAAGAAGAGGGCTCACAAAGCACCTTCACACTGGTAG